TTCTCTGTATGTGAGAGTAGCCTATATGGCAGGGTTCCCCAACTGGCATCCCGGTTTTATTGGCCCCGCCCACAAGTTTTCTGAGCAAAGAAATTAATTGGACATAAAAGTCTGTAAAAACACCAGGAAATCAGCTTCAAGGGATTTTAATTTTGTAAATCTGTTTCCAAGTGTTCCCACGCATAATAGAGAGACACGTGATCGTATACAAACGTAAGCAAGGTTTGAAATTATTATGTTTTACTCAAATGTGATATTTGTTTGGGCTTCTTGCGGTTAATTTGCAGACTACAAATTATTTTTTAACTACGTTCTGACCCTTTGACCGTCCGCTCAAGAAAAAATCAACTCGTGGCTTGATCTAGTTGATGATCCCTGCCTTGATGTCTAGACCTTTATGGCAGTGGTGGTAGTCCACAGTCATTGATTCCAGCCCAGGGCTTGCTCTTCCACCAAGGCCTGTAGTTTATATGAATGCATAATGACAGAGGCCATAGCCGGCAGGTAGCCTAGCGGTTAAAGCGTAGCCCTGGGCTGGAATCAATGACTATGTGGACTACCACCACTGCCATAAAGGTCTAGACATCAAGGTAACCAAAAGGGTGCTAATCTGTCGATGTGCCCTACTAGAGCAAGGCACTTAATCCTAATTGCTCCAGGGGGCCTGTTGAAAATGGCAGACCTTGACCCAGTGGCGGACGTAGTGATTTGGAGGCCCCCGGCAGAGACCAGTCATGAACACAACCAGTCATGATGTTTTCATATGATTGTCAAACAACGCACTTCAATAAGTAGCTTACCTTCGCACATTCATCCAAAATAATTCCAGCGTCCGAACAGTGCACTGTGCACCCGCCAACTTTCCTTCAATCCGCAAGTGGCTGAGTCTTACTATATGTAGCCCATGCATCTGATGCTGTCTGGCCAAAAAGAGTATGACATGCCATAATATTTCAGATACATGGGCTACATATACATGTTTGCTGCCTCGACGACAATGGCAGTTTTATCACCAGCACCTGTCTTTTTACTAAATAAATGCATATTGTATCCCCTTAGAGTCTAAGGGCCGGGTTTCTACTGAGATAACATATGGAATTGTTTTAAGATGGTCATACCAAGGATAATTTAGCTATTTGATTTTGAATTGTAGGACCCCTGTAGGTATCCCCCCCCAAAAATGAATATGAAATCATGATTTGATTATTTGATGAAACATTGAATTTGGCCTTACTGCTATTAGCCCATAGAAACGCATTTAATAATAGATTCATACATGGAAAAACTGTCCAAAATGTAATCAAAATGAAGTTGTTTTGAAGTGTCTGTCCTATATCTGAGTGATATAAGAAAGCTCAGAAATGTTTTTACAGTGGAATTACCCATATACCTTTAACGTGGAAATGCCAGATTCACTTCCATTCATTTTTCAGCCCAGTACCGGGTTACCTTCAGATGACTCTCGTGACACCCCTGCACATCGACTCGGTACTGGTACCCCGTGCATATAGCCAAGTTATTGTTAATCATTGTGTGTCTATTATTACTTTTATTATTATGTGTTTTACTTTTCTATTATTTCTCTATTTTCTATCTCTCTGCATTGTTGGGAAGAGCCCACAAGTAAGCATTTCACTGTTTGGATAATCTCTTATAAAATGGGTCAAAATCATGTATAGTAACCCTAGGTGTAAAATAGTAAATAATGGCTATTTCTCAGAAAGTTTTAAACTGTCAAGAGGAGTGAAACAAGGTTGTCCACTATCGGCATATCTATTTATTGTGGCCATCGAGATGTTAGCTATTAAAATCAGATCCAATAATAATATCAGAGGATTAGAAATCCAGGGCTTAAAAACAAAGGTGTCATTGTACGCTGATGATTCATGTTTTCTTTTAAATCCACAACTAGAATCCCTCCACAGCCTCATAGAGGATCTAGATACATTTTCTAACCTCTCTGGATTACAACCAAATTATGACAAATGTACTATATTATGTATTGGATCACTAAAAAATACAATTTTTACATTACCATGTAGTTTACCAATAAAATGGTCTGATGGTGATGTGGGTATACTCGGAATACATATCCCAAAGGAAATAAATGATCTCACTTCAATAAATAGAAAGTTAGCAAAAATAGATAAGATCTTACTACCATGGAAAGGTAAATACCTGTCAATTTGTGGAAAAATCACCCTGATTAACTCTTTAGTATTATCCCAGTTTACCTATTTGCTTATGGTCTTGCCTACGCCTAGCGAACAGTTTTCTAAATTATATTAGAAAAAAATATTCAATTTTATTTGGAACGGCAAGCCAGACAAAATTAAAAGGGCCTATTTATATAATGAATATGAATTCGGAGGACAGAAATTATTAAATATTAAAGCATTAGACCTATCACTAAAAGCTTCAGTCATACAAAAGTTATACTTAAATCCGAACTGGTTCTCAAGCAAATTAGTAAGATTGTCTCACCCAATGTTCAAGAATGGCCTTTTTCCCTTTATTCAGATTACAACAACTCATTTTCAGTTATTTGAAAAGGAAATCATCTCCCAAATATCACTATTTCTAAAACAAGCCATAGAAAGTTGGTTGCAATTTCAATTTAATCCTCAAGAAACGACAGAACAAATAATGCAACAAATATTGACAGAATGTTTAAAAAAGGTATAATCTTCGTAAATTATATCATCGGTAGGACTGGTGGAGTTGTCGCACATGCAGCTAACAAAAACATATGGAAATGTCTGCTCTACCCAAAATTACAACCAAATAATTGCAGCCTTACCGCAAAAGTGGAAGAGGAAAGTGGAAGGGGGAGAAAGTAAGGAACTTGTCTGTCGGCCTTGCATTAAAGAACATAATTGGTTAAGGAAAACTGTGATAAATAAAAAAAGTATATCAGTTTCACTTAAGGAAAGGATTGACAGCCGTCCCATATAGATTGCAAAATAGTTGGGAAGAGATTTTTGACGTACCGAACCCATGGCATAGTGTTTATGAACTGACACGCAAAACGACACCGGATTCAAAACTTAGAATCTTTCAATTTAAATTATTATATAGAATTCTTGCTACCAATAGAATGTTATTTATATGGGGGATACAATCTTCCCAGCTCTGCAGATTTTGCTGTGAAGAGACAGAATCATTAGATCATTTGTTTTGGTTCTGTCCATTTGTAGCTTGTTTTTGGACACAGGTCCAGGAATGGCTAAAGGATTGCAATATTTACCTGGAGCTAACCTTGCAGATATCATTACTGGGTGATCTGAAAAGTCATAGTCAATCGATCAATGATATAATAATACTTTTAGCAAAAAAAAATTTTTTAATTCAGAATCTGTAGAAGCAATGAGAATAGAAAGGTTCAGAACTTTTGTAAAACATCACAGTACGGTTGAAATATATATGGCAAATAGAAATCCTATACTGTATGGATGGTGTTAAGAGATAGATGGAAGGTATTGAATGGAGTTGAAGGATGGGACTAATAACAAATAACAACAAATAATAACAAGATAACTAATAATGTAAGCACACTGTGTCCATAATAAGTATATAGGTTGTATGTTGGGAGCTTTTGGGAAAGAGCACAGTTAGAAAGATATGGCATATAGAAGCAAACCGGATGGACATCATGAAAATGATCGGAGAGGTTGAGAGTAGAAGAAGTTCAGGAGCAAAAACAAATAAAATAGAATTATTGTAAAATTGACTGTGTCCATAAGGTGTAGATAGTAAGTATAGGCTGGAAGTAGAGGCCTGGGCATTTTTGTTCACTAATTTACCCCAAGTAGGGAAAGGATGGCGGGGTTGAAAAGTAATAAAGGGGAGTATATATATAAAAAACATGGGGGATTGGAAGTGATGCAGACAATTACATTGATAGAAGTTACAATCTATCTGCAATATTAAGCTGATCTACCCCCAGGAAAAGAAAAAGAAAAAAAAAAGCATTTAATTGTTAGTCCACACGTTGTTTATGAAGCATGTGACACTTTGATTGATTGTGAAACTTGTAGGGTTCGTAGAGCAAAACTGAGAACGCCATCGTGTTTGTGAGAGTCATCTTTCCATAGAGGGGTCATATTAGTGTGATACCGTTCGGACGCTACAGATGTTTTCGTGAGAAGACTGATTTTCGGGATGTCTCATGGTCTGACAAACACCGCTGTAGCTCGGACACCTTCCACTGCACAAGGCAGGAAATCTATCTCTAGCTTAAACAGACATATTTTAATGGGGATTTTCTAATTATTTACTTATTATGCCTTCAACGGAACATGAGGGGGGCCTCAAGCGAAGAATGTTTTCAAATGTATTTTAATTTTAATGCCCAGCTCATGAGGCCCCTTGATGATGTGAGGCCTGAGGCAATTGCCTCTTCTGCTTAATGGTAAGTCCGCCTGTGCTGTGACCCCAGTCTCTGAGGGTGTCTCAGGGAGAGTTGTGATATGTAAAAGATAATATTTCCAATTCACACATGCGTATAAATCCATACTTGTACATGTGTGAAATAGGACAAATATAAGCGCCCAGCCAAATTATTATTATTGCATTCATGGATATGTCCTGGTGAAAAAATAGGGAAGCTGGTCATTCCACTGACGTCTTTCACTTTGTTTAGCAGTCAGCTATTCCCTACACCTGTAGTATTTCAACTACAGATGGTCACTGTAGAATCTGTCTACCAAGCCTGATTTGTGATAACATATCTAAATCAAGAGATTAGTTTTACCACTGCAGCTGCAGGAAGTGCTTCCTAGGGGGTTTCCTGACCAACTAAAATGGCGCCGGTGGTCAAACCACATAAACTCCCTATTATCATAGCACATGATGTTCCCAGAATATCTACAGTGACTGGCAAACATGATTGGAACAGAAAGGGTGTAGGTAAAACAGTATTTTGCAAACACATATAACTTAATCAGTAAAGAAAATAAAACCAGAAACTACAAAAATGAGAACTACATGGAATTTGACTGTGAAAAGCTGTGTTTATTTTTGCCCTTTTCGTTCTGAAAACATTTCTCAAGTTGATGTTTCATCGAATTGCAGTTTACATCAAACTCTGTCCTTATTCCTCACATTTTTGACAAAATGTTTTATTTCTGGCATTATTGATTGTTCAAACCTCACTCTGTCCGTGAAATAGAAGCAAGTACATAATGAATGTTCTTTCACCTTCAGCATTTCTTCTGCAATTCTGTTTTCTTCTGAGGTTTATTATTTTGGTATAACCAAAAATATTATATTAAAACTTGAGCAGCATGTTGTTTCTACGCTATAAATACATATTAACATAAATATGACAGAATACAGAAGCATACAAACAAACTGACAGTGCACTCTGAACATAAAAAAGCAAGTATAAATCTGAATAAATACCTCTTAAGTACTCAATAAATAAATTATTTAAAGGACTGATACAATACACCATACTACAATGAAAATGCTGGTAAAAAACCACATACAAAAACCACATGGAGATTAGGCACACTTTTCTACAATTAATGTAATTTCAGATGGAGGAGGAAAGCTTCACACAGCTGAGAGGGCACAATCATTTCCCTATTGTGATACTGTATGTCAGATAGCTTGAGGGACGAGCGTCACGTAGGAGTGACACCAACTGACAACAATCTAAATTCCCTAAATTCTCTCCTCGGTCAGCTTTAATTCCTCTGTGTCATGTAAAATGACTTCAGTCAAGTTCGTTTGCCCCAATTTAGTTCATGGAGATTTCTGTTCCAATTGGGAAATGGCCCACGCATATAATCATGGTTTGCCATCCAATCCTTTCATTCAGGAGGTCTGTCAGACCGTGCAGGTGTCCTACGAGGTAGACATAATACATCTCCCCCCTGCGTCACCACAGGTTCCTCTTGGGGATGAACTTTACCTTCAAATGAACTGAGGTAGAATTGTCATCCTCCTAGCGGAAATAGAGCACATGGAGAAACAATAAGCAACCACCTATTCACATAACTTTATGACAATGCCTCAGATAAAAAAAAACTGTATGAGGCCATGAATCGTTGTGTAATAGAAAGACACTCACTCTGTCACTAAATTATCAGGGATGTGCGACCGCCTCAAGCTTGACCTTCTCATTGTCAAGGTTGTATTGACCTTGCTTATGACACCTAATATGACAATGGAGGAAAACAGTATGTTAATAATATTGGTGGACAGGACAGGGGCGAGTTGGTGATCCTGAAACATCTCAAACTTTTTAAAAGACAAGAAACAAGTTCTGAGGCACACTGACCTGATGGCCATTAAAATGGCGATGACTGTCAGACACAGAAAGGACACAACCACTGCTACCACAGCCAGCGCTATTGTCCTGTTGTAGCCTCCTGCTTCCTTTGTCACCGGCAGGCTGAAAAGGTGACACCGCTCACCAGAGTATCCCGGCAGACATCTAAAAAATAAATACAGTAAACAGTGACTTGAGTTTGGAGACACAATCACAGATGATAAGTGTCTCTAACAAAATACAGATATGGCGCTGAATGAGGGGATGGGGCTCACATGCAGGATGGCTCTCGTAGCTCTCTCAGGTATTGGCAGACCCCATGAATGCAGTAGTCTTTATATTTCTTCAGACAGGGGTTCCTCTTCCTACCCTTGCCGTTTCTCTTGCTCGCCCTTCTCCTGTCTGTGTAGGGAGACATGGGCAGATCTTTCGGCTTGGTGGAAAATGCCACTGGAGATGAGAGGAAGACGGGAACGTCAAATAATGTGCAATATATGTATTAACAACAAATAATTGGGATTCGGAGCGATAAGATCCCTATACATTGTAAATAGGTTCCTTATGCAAAACGTGAATCTGATGAATACATAGAAATAAACTGTGGTAAACTGCTGTACCTTTTGGAAATTCCATTTCGTAATCCCCAGACAGATAGTCCTCTTCACCATGTTCATAATAGTACTCCTCCTCCTTGTCATATTCTAGCTGGTTGTCTCTTGTTTTCAGATCATTGTGGAGGAGACTGACCACAGCTAATTGGGCAGGAGAGTTATCTTCGTGCTGGTCAATGGTAATGGCAGAGGCACCACTTGATAGCCTGAAACACACTGGAGACACACACATGGGTAACTTTTATTAGAATACTATTAAAGCATGAGATTGAATGCAGCCACACAAAGTAGGTTAATGCCTCCCGAGTGACAAGAGAGAGAGAACAGAGAGGAAACATGCCCCGACTCCAGTTCATTGACACATTAAATAGTTTGACATATTAGGCTATACATGTTAAAACCTATGTTAAGAAATGTCATATATAGCCTACTATTATATATTCCTACAGAATATATGATTATTCTATACATTTTTCGAACGGCTGGGCTAGCCTATATAATATAACCCCAAGATAAACAGATCGCTGCAACATTGTCACGGTTTGGTTTTAAGTCCCGACCAGTCATTGGTCCCGACTCACTCACCGGATCCATAAGCGAGAAAAAGCGCAGATCTGAGGTATACAATATTCATTTTTTGGAGCTACTGAAAATAAACTCAGAATGAGGCGTGATCCTTTTGATCTAAATTCAACGGTACGATCTATGCCCAGTTAAACGTGTATACGTCCAGTAGGCTAAAGGTGTCGCTGCTTCTCAGCAAGTGACCTCTGTATCACAGTCTACTGCTTGGCGCGGGCTGTTGGAAAAGAACTGTTCATTTTCCTACTGGAGCAATTATGTATGTCGCCTCCCAATGATTCATGGCCACACCTTTCAATAAAGGAGGCTGAGCCTATGCTGTAGTGTGAATTTCATGGCAGATACCAGAGACCAATGCCTAGTATTCAATGAGCGGACATCCTAATGTCATTATTTCTGACAGTCCGTAACCTCCACTGTGATGATCAGTCCAGCAGAAAGCCAGCGATGGCAGGTTATATGCACTACGTTATCCTGCCTATCCTATAATAAAGGAAGCCTTTAGCATAGACCTAATAATCATGCACGTGCGTCAAAAGGTTCACTTTTTTAGACTTTCAATTTACACATCTCAAGCGATCACTATAATTCTGTATTATGGGCCAATCATTTTATAACAAAAATCTTTGATTTGTCCGAGGATGGAAGTTGATCAAATATATGTTAAATATAATGGACGGTATTTAGCCTATGCGCGCATACGGACAGGTACAGAGACGATATTGGAACTAATGGCATAATGTTTATGAACTGACACGCAAAACGACACCGGACTCAAAAATTAGAATCTTTCAATTTAAATTATATTAAATTCTTGCTACCAATAGAATGTTATTTATATGGGGGATACAATCTTCCCAGCTCTGCAGATTTTGCTGTGAAGAGACAGAATCATTAGATCAGGGGTGTCAAACTCATTTTAGCTCAGGGGCCACATGGAGGAAAATCTATTCCCAAGTGGGCCGGACCGGAAAAAGTCATGGTATATATAACTTAAAAACAACAACTTCAGATTGTTTTCTTTGTTTTAATACGATCAACATACAACATAAAGCTGGAGCCTGAGGACAGTGTGTCCAAAATAGTACAAGCACAACATAACTATTAATCATAAAACACGTCAAGTTTATTTGAAAATTCTAAAGAAAAAGAACACACAAACACACAATGCCTCAGTGATTAACAGAACTGTTTCACAGATCACAGAACTATATCAGGGTGTCATTTCTCAGGCAGAAATGTAGATAAAAATAATGAAATCCTGTTCCCCAAACAAGTGCAAGAACCACTGAGTCAAGAATAGGTTAAATATACAAATAAAATAAAATCAATTAAAAACAATAGCACATCAACATAAAAACATATAAACATAAAGCTGGAGCCTGAGGACAGTGTCCAAAAGCACAACATCACTATTAATCATAAAACACCTCAAGTTATTTGAAAGTTCTGAGGACAAAGAACACACAAACACACAATGCCTCAGTAATTAACAGAACTGTTTCACAGATCACAGAACTATATCAGGGTGTCATTTCTCAGGCAGAAATGTAGATAAAAATAATGAAATCCTGTTCCCCAAACAAGTGCAAGAACCACAGAGTCAAGAATAGGTTAAATATACAAATACAATAAAATCAATTAAAAACAATAGCACATCAACATAAAAACATATAAACATAAATCTGAAAGCGTTGCTCAAACTCCCGTAACAGTCCCGTTATTTTATCTTTGAACCGCTTCATGTCTGCCACATGTTGGGTCGCGCACACATTTTTCAGACAGGGGAAGTGAGCTGCATCACCACCGGCAAGTTGCGTCTCCCACAATGACAGCTTCAACTTGAAAGAACGTATGCTGTCATAATACTGCGTGACAACTTTGTTGCGCCCTTGCAGCTGTTTGTTCAAGTTATTCAGGTGCTCTGTAACATCCACCATAAATGCAAGGTCCTGCATCCATTCTGCGGAATGAAATTCTAACACTGGTTTGCCCTTTTCTTCCATGAACTGTTCAATTTCTTCTCGTAAATCAAAGAAACGCCTCAGCACAGCACCTCGGCTTAACCATCTTACCTCAGTGTGGTATGGCAGGCCATAGATGTGGTCTTTCTCTCTGAGAAGGCTGTCAAACTGACGGTGATTCAGGCTTCTGGATCGGATGAAATTAACAGTTTGGATGACCACCTTCATGACGTTATCCATCTTTAATGACTTGCAACACAAAGCCTCCTGGTGCAAAATACAGTGAAAAGTCAAAAAATCACGTCCTCCATTTGCAGATTGCACTTTCTCTCTGAACTTTGTCACAACGTCTGCTTTTTTCCCGATCATTGAGGGCGCACCATCTGTAGCCAGGCTGACAGCGCGGGACCAGTCCACTCCGACCCTGTCCAGCGCGCCGACGAGTGCGGTAAAAATATCAGCTGCTGTCGTTGTATCTGTCATCGGCACCAACTCCACGAACTCCTCGGTGACGGTCAATGTGTCATCAACTCCGCGGATGAAAATGGCCAGTTGTGCAACATCTGTAATGTCCGTGCTTTCATCAATTGCAACCGAAAACGCAATAAATGACTTTACTTTTTGCTTCAACTGGCTGTCCAAATCCACTGAAAGATCGGAAATCCTGTCTGCAACTGTGTTTCTTGTCAGGCTGATATTTGCAAAAGCCTGCCGCTTTTCAGGGCACACAATCTCCGCTGCCTTCATCATGCATGTTTTTACAAATTCACCCTCACTAAATGGTTTTGAAGCCACTGCGATTTCATTAGCAATGAGGTAGCTAGCTTTCACTGCAGCGTCACTGATGTCTCGGCTGTGAGTAAACACAGACTGCTGTTTCTTCAGACCCGCCAACAGTTCATCACCTTCTCTCATCTCCGCTGTCCTTGAAAGTTGTCATATTTGTCGGCATGAAGACTCACATAGTGGCGACGAAGGTTATATTCTTTCAGCACTGCAACATGCTCTGAACACACCAAACATACAGCTTTCCCATTCAATTCCGTGAATAAATAGGATGACCATTTTTCTTGGAACACTCTGCGTCCACTTTTCTCTTTTTTGACAGAGACATATTGGGGCAATGAGGGTGCCAAAGCACATAATGTTAAAAGTAGAAGCCGTAATAAATATCGCGGGCAAAACAAAGTAGCTCATTGGCTGCACGTGCTTGACCTACTTGCTCTGCCCCGGTATAAACAGTTTGCTTGCTTAACACAATTGCTATTGCGCCATCCAGTGGACCCAATTGGAACAGCAGTTTATTTTATTGAAAAATTGCAGCGCATTTTTATACTTTACAAAAAAAATGATTTTTTAAATCATCTCGCGGGCCGGATTAAACCCGTTTGCGGGCCTGAATCGGCCCGCGGGCCGTACGTTTGACACCCTTGCATTAGATCATTTGTTTTGGTTCTGTACATTTGTAGCTTGTTTTTGGACACAGGTCCAGGAATGGCTAAAGGATTGCAATATTTACCTGGAACTAACCTTGCAGATAGCATTACTGGGTGATCTGAAAAGTCATAGTCAATCAATCAATAATATAATAATACTTTTAGCAAAAATGTTTATTTTTAATTCACAATCTGTAGAAGCAATGAGAATAGAAAGGTTCAGAACTTTTGTAAAACATCACAGTACGGTCAAAATATATATGGCAAATAGAAATCCTATATGGATGGTGTTAAGAGATAGATGGGAGGTATTGAATAGAGTTGAAGGATGGGACTAATAACAAATAATAACAAAGATAGCTAATAATGTAAGCATACTGTGTCCATAATAAGTATATAGGTTGTATGTTGGGAGCTTTTGGGAAAGAGCACAGTTAGAAAGATATGGCATATAGAAGCAAACCGGATGGACATCATGAAAATGATCGGAGAGGTTGAGAGTAGAAGTAGTTCAGGAGCAATAAAAAAAAAAAAATATATATATAATAGAATTATTGTAAAATTAACTCTGCCCATAAGGTGTAGATAGTAAGTATAGACCGGAAGTAGAGGCCTGGGCATTGTTGTTCACTAATTTACTCCAAGTAGGGAAAGGATGGTGGGGTTGAAAAGTAATAAAGGGGAGTATATATATATATAAAAAATAAATAAAAAACATGGGGGATTGGAAGTGATGCAGACAATTACATTGATAGAAGATACAATCTATCTGCAATATTAAGCTGATCCATTCCCCCCCCCAAAAAAAAAAAAAATACTGGTGCGCTTTCTGAAGGCCTAGTAGCTTAGTGGGTAAGAGCGTTGTGCCAGTAACCGAAAGGTCGCTGGTTCTAATCCCCGAGCCGACTAGGTGAAAAATCTGTCGATGTGCCCTTAAGCAAGGCACTTAACCCTAATTGCTCCTGTAAGTCGCTCTGGATAAGAGCGTCTGCTAAATGACGTAAATGTAAATGCCTAGGGTAGGTGGGCTATTACCAGAAGCGTACGGCGAATAGTAGAGGTATTTTGCAATGCTCCGAGCAGGAGCTGCTGACAGGTCAATACATTATCACAACTTACTGTGAAATACAGAAATAACAATATGGCGTGCACCTTTCACTACTGAATGGTATTCCTAAACTCTTGAACGTGTGCTCAGGATACTTAGGCCCCTAAACCAGAATCTGGGTCAACAAAGGAGTCGTTGAATATGGAGTATTCTTTTAAAGGATTAAAGGAGAATCGCCCAGATTCTGGTTCAATGGGCCCCTAGCATGCATTACAAAGCACGACTATGAGCAAAATAGGTCAACAGCGCCACCCAGTGTTAGAATAGGGTAGTAGTAACTAACAGTAGAACATTCTATTTATTCCAGGAATAGCATTTAGGTGTCTGGGAAACAAGCCCGTGGTGATTGCCCCAAAATATATTGCTTTAAAATGAATGAGAAGAGAAAATATGTTAACAAGTTTATTAACGATGCCCAATAACAGAATCAAAACCAAGACAGTGAGAGGAGATGAGACGACTATTACAAGGTTTAAAACATTTAGCAGTTTGAGAGTCAACCAAAAAGAATATCCTGTTTATTTAACAAGAGGCTATTTCAACATGCTCTTTAACATTATAAAAATCCCTCAGGCTCAACGCAAGTTTATAGAAACTATGAAAAAGGAGCTGAAAATGTTTGTCTCGGAAGGAGCAATCATGATTACCATATTTACAAAAGCACACGTTGCTTCAAACAGAATCCAGTCATTCAGGCTTGAACTACAGGTATAACTAGGGTGGAACCGAAATCCATCACCCTGTGCTGTCTCGGATTCACAATACAAAAAAAAAAAAAAAAAACATACTGACTTCAGTGAGTTAAGTTAAGGTTAAGAAAGGCTGTGGTAAAAACTTGTCCTCCCCCTCATCTTTCATACAATAGAGTTGAACCACTCCAGTATGTACAGAATCTGTAACCCTCTCGAACAAACAAACATAACATAATTTTGCCAACAGCGAAGAAGCTAGTTTTCCACACCACCCCCCGGAACCCCTACATGCCCCATCCTGCTCCCATGCTGCCGTTCATGCCCACGGAGCCACGGCTGCTGCCATAGTAACTGCTGCTCATCCCGCTCTGATTACCTAACAGGAAAAAGAAATACCAACATTATTACCGACGCAGACTTACCTTCTCCAATACAAAAAAAAATATGCAAAGAAAGTGGATACTCATGGATGCGCATCACAATTGTAAAATGTCAACAAAATTGGAGACACCACGTCATTTTTGGAGACATGTTATTGACAGTAAAATATTGTAGATGCGACTGCTAACTAAATAAAACAGTTTAGCTGGCTAGCTAATCATCTTAGCTAAATGTGGGGCAAACAATTCAGTTATGTACCGTTAATTTGAGGGATTGGGGTGAAAGAAATCGAGTTACATAGTGATACTTTACGATATACTGTATTGACAATATCGCAATATTTTAGCGCTAGTTGGCTGTACCTGCACCAAAACACCATTATTGTTCCTTCATAGCTTGTTCTCAATCTTTTTACACAGGGAGCCAATTTGTTTTCAGCACTTTTATTTCCATGACTGATCAAAACTCGTTCTCATGGCTTTCTCATCCCTCTGCAACAGACATACAGTGAGGGAAAAAAGTATTTGATCCCCCGCTGATTTTGTACGTTTGCCCACTGACAAAGACATGATCAGTCTATAATTTTAGTGGTAGGTTTATTTGAACAGTGAGAGACAGAATAACAACAAAAAAATCCAGAAAAACGCATGTCAAAAATGTTAGAAATTGATTTGCATTTTAATGAGGGAAATAAGTATTTGACCCCTCTGCAAAACATGACTTCGTACTTGGTGGCAAAACCCTTGTTGGCAATCACAGAGGTCAGACGTTTCTTGTAGTTGGCCACCAGGTTTGCATACATCTCAGGAGGGATTTTGTTCCACTCCTCTTTGTAGATCTTCTCCAAGTCATTAAGGTTTCGAGGCTGACGTTTGGCAACTCGAACCTTCAGCTCCCTCCACAGATTTTCTATGGGATTAAGGTCTGGAGACTGGCTAGGCCACTCCAGGACCTTAATGTGCTTCTTCTTGAGCCACTCCTTTGTTGCCTTGGCCGTGTGTTTTGGGTCATTGTCATGCTGGAATACCCATCCACGACCCATTTTCAATGCCCTGGCTGAGGGAAGGAGGTTCTCACCCAAGATTTGACTGTACATGGCCCCGTCCATCGTCCCTTTGATGCGGTGAAGTTGTCCTGTCCCCTTAACAGAAAAACACCCCCAAAGCATAATGTTTCCACCTCCATGTTTGACGGTCGGGATGGTGTTCTTGGGGTCGTAGGCAGCATTCCTCCTCCTCCAAACACGGCGAAGTTGAGTTGATGCCATAGAGCTCGATTTTGGTCTCATCTGACCACAACACTTTCACCCAGTTCTCCTCTGAATCATTCAGATGTTCATTGGCAAACTTCAGATGGCCCTGTATATGTGCTTTCTTGAGCAGGGGGACCTTGCGGGCGCTGCAGGATTTCAGTCCTTCACGGCGTAGTGTGTTACCAATTGTTTTCTTGGTGATTATGGTCCCAGCTGCCTTGAGATCATTGACAAGATCCTCCCGGGTAGTTCTGGGCTGATTCCTCACCGTTCTCATGATCATTGCAACTCCACGAGGTGAGATCTTGCATGGAGCCCCAGGCCGAGGGAGATTGACAGTTATTTTGTGTTTCTTCCATTTGCAAATAATCGCACCAACTGTTGTCACCTTCTCACCAAGCTGCTTGGTGATGGTCTTGTAGCCCATTCCAGCCTTGTGTAGGTCTACAATATTGTCCCTGACATCCTTGGAGAGGTCTTTGGTCTTGGCCATGGTGGAGAGTTTGGTATCTGATTGATTGATTGCTTCTGTGGACAGGTGTCTTTTATACAGGTAACAAGCTGAGATTAGGAGCACTCCCTTTAAGAGTGTGCTCCTAATCTCAGCTTGTTACATGTATAAAAGAAACCTTGGAGCCAGAAATCTTTCTGATTGAGAGGGGGTCAAATACTTATTTCCCTCATTAAAATGCAAATCAATTTATAACATTTTTGACGTGCGTCTTTCTGGATTTTGTTGTTGTTATTCTGTCTCTCACTGTTCAAATAAACCTACCATTAAAATTATAGACTGATCATTTCTTTGTCAGTGGGCAAACGTACAAAATCAGCAGGGGATCAAATACTTTTTTCCCTCACTGTATGGTGAGCAATAAAATCACAGTATCGAATCGCAATACGTATAGAATCATGAGACTCGCAATGCATATATCTTATCGTGAGGTCCCTGGCAATTCCCAGCCCAAGTTCATTTGCCACAACAAATCTCTTCGCTAGCAAACGCGATGTCTTCTCCAAAACGGCAATGTGTCTCCAGCAATGTTTACTTTTTTGACGTTCTATGGCATCTCCACTTTCCAAGCATATATGACCACATGTAATATTTTGGTAAGTGATGCAAATAGTGAACTATGTAGGGCCAGGATGTAAAATATATGTAGCTGCAGCAATTTCTCTTATCTGATATGGTAAGTAATGGGGCTTAATGTTAGTAACAACCCTCCTGTGACAGGCAGCAGAGAGCTGACACTTACTGTAATCATTGTACCCCCCCATGCTGGACTGGTTGCTATAGCCCCCCGTGTAACCAGTGCTCATCTGCTGGCTGCCTCCATAGGAAGATTGGTTGGCTGTGGAAAATAGAACTCTGTCAAATAAAATACCTTAAAACAATAATAATAATAATAATAAGCCATTTAGCAGACGCTTTTATCCAAAGCGACTTTCAGTCATGCGTGCATACATTTTTGTGTATGGGTGGTCCCGGGGATCGAACCCACTACCCTGGCGTTACAAGCGCCGTGCTCTACCAGCTGAGCTACAGAGGATGTGGTGTGTATGTCCAATTAAAGCCAAACTGATTCTGCACACAGAACTACACTCGTTGGCCCAGAATACACTTTTATACCTTCATCTACTCCCCATCCTTCCGACTGAATAAACTCACCCATAGCCCCCATCATCTGTCCGCCATAGCCACCATTGCTGCCCCCTGCCGTGGAGTTGAGGAACAACTCAACATAACGGTGCTCTGAGGAAGAGAGGGCGGCGTGAAACAAGGCAAGCATCTTTGATTGGATTAAAAAGACAGAAGATTGAGGATGCAACTATCCAGACAGGAACAGTGATCGCCACCCACACACAGCACATATTAAATTACTGCAGACTCACGCATGTTGGCTTTATCCTTCGACATGGCTGCCACAGCATCCTCATGTGTGGCAAACTCCACATCAGCCTCTCCAGTCACCCTCCCGTCTGGCCCGACCTCGATGTGCACACGCACTGGGTTCAGTGGCGAGAAAAACTACATGGGAAAAAATTGCAACCATTAGCATGACCAGTCAGTGACCGTTTACCTTGCCATCAGGTGACCGTCAATGGCTGAGTGTGTATACTATGTAACTAGTTCTGGTACTCACACTGTAGATGTCAGTCTCTGTTGCCCGGTAAGGAAGCCCCCTCATGTGCACGCAGTGTCCGGTCGTACTCTGAAAACTTGAACCACCATCGCTATAACGATCTGAACCTATAGTCGTTAGGAAAGTCGACAGTGGTAGAAAGCTTATGATTTGTTCCACGAACGAATACATTAGAAATATACAAACTCCAGTATGCATTCTAACGTTCAAAAACGATTAGTTACCGGAGTGTAACTCCAGTTCTATGAGTGGAGTGGAGCCCCATAGGGGAGCTATGCTCCTAGTGGTTTACCCTCTGCCCTAAGGCAGAACAGCCTGAAGCAAAATTATGCACACACCTACAGCCAATAGGAGTACAGGTGTCCCTATATAAGGAACCCCGTTCCCTCAATCTGTCTCCCGAGATATTATCTTCAGCGACACTAGAGGGTCGGCAGGGCCTTAAGTCCTATGGGGCTCCGCTCCACTCATAGAACTGGAGTTACACTCCGGTAACTAATCGTTCTATATCGTGGAGCTCCGCCCCATAGGGGAGCTATGCTCCTAGTGGTTTAAGGCGAAACGCTCCAAAATGTACTCCCTGCCGAGCCTAACATTTCCCATTAAAAAATGAAAAAGGTCAAGCCCAGCAATGGCTGCAACCAATTCCCGCAGTACTGCGACTAAAAAACCCATTAAGGCGTCACAATATACCGCGTCATCGGTTATAGACCCGCCCCATCTAGCTCAATGACAATGTCAATGGCTATTGGGCAGATCAAAAGAATAGAGGCCATGCTAATCTGTATTAGCAGATAGCCGTGCCTCAATACTCTATGATAACACTATTATCCACTAATGGAATGACATAAAATGTCACTTACATTATGTGTCCAATAGTCCGCCTTACTTACTCAATGGAACCCAGAGATTAGTAGGCAGGGACAAAATATACCAGTCATACTAAACTGAACCTCAGATAGATGACCTCATATTCTGTCCACTCAATACATGTTTCTACATGCTGACACTGTCAGCCAGAAAACATGCCACAGAATATGCTCTTCATCCAAAGCGGACCTGATAGAGACCAGTCTATCATCCTGCTTCTCCCTCCTCTACCTCAAGATTCTTCTTCAGCGTGCTGAGTGTAATCGAGATTGGAGTTAAAAGGCTTATCCTTGATATAAGTCTTCCTAACCAAAGCGGACCTGATTGGAACCTGTCCAAGGTCCTGCTTTGTCCTCTTTTTCTAGCTCAAGAACGCCTTTCAGCTCTGCTGAAATTCGATCGAACAAAAAGAGTTAGAAAAACATGTCTATAATATGTTACTTCTAATAAAAGCGGACTTATGAACACAGTCACAATCCTGCTTTCCTTCTCTATTTTTGCTCATGATCTCCCTTCAGCCACGCTGAGTACAGACTGAGCCAAAGAGTTAGAAGACATATCCAACAGATAGAAACGGATAAAAGGAGACGGTGTCGACCATGACGCCGCTCTACAAATATCCTCTACCTCTGTTCCTCTGAAGAGGGCAGTAGAAGCTGCAATTCCACGAGTGGAGTGCGCTTTAATACCCTGAGGCGGTTGTTGCCCCGCCGCCTCGTACGCCGTCTCAATGCCTTCACAAGGCCAATGAGACAATCGCTGTTTTGAAAGTGGTCTACCCAATGCAGCCGCACCGTGACACACAAACAGCTGAGGCGATGACCTAACCGCCGCTGTGCGCCTCACGTAACACGCCAAAGCGCGTACTGGGCACAAACAATGAAGCTTTTCCTCACTCCTCTCCCCATGGGGAGGGGGATGAAAAGCCCACAATTCCACGATCTGTGATCTATATGCACTGTTAATAACCTTCGGCACAAATGCCGGGTTAGGACGTAACACCGCTCTGCTCAGATCGCCATTAATGGCAAGGCAGTCGGGTCTCGTTGACAGTGCACACAAATCACTGACTCGTTTAGCGGTAGTCAAGGCGAGCAACAGCGCCGTCTTGATAGACAGCACCTTGAGGGGTATTTGATTCAATGGCTCGAACGGCGATTTACATAGCGCTTCGAGAACCAGTGCCAAATCCCATTTGGGCAGCGTAGCTTTAGGCCTTGGCCTAAGCCGTTGCGTTCCCAATAGGAAACGTTTCACTAATGGGTGACTGAACACACTTTTCCCGTTAAACCCTTCGTGACCAGCTGAAATTGCCGCTACAAACACTCGAATAGTGGAGGGCGATTTCTGCTCATCAAACATAGACTGTAGGAATGATAGTACACTCTCTACCTGACAGCTCATGGGGTCTACGTCCTGTGTATTACACCATCGTGAGAAAACGTTCCATCTGCTGGTATACACCCTAGAAGTGGAACCGGCTCTTGCGCCCTGTATTGTTCTGATCACTGCATCAGACAACCCACGGCGCTTCAACTGTCCCATTCAGGAACCAAGCCTTCAGTGGTTGGCCGATTACGGGCCATTGCCCTATCGAGCCTCCCGCCTGAGTCAACGCGTCTCGTCGATGTGGAATTGCCCAAGGTGGCGCAATCAACATCTGACTCATCTCTGCAAACCACGGAGCTCCCGGGCGATATCAGTATCACTGACAGCTCCTCTGACCTCACCCTGGCTAGCAGTGGGAGAATGCAAGACAGCGGAGGGAATGCATACAGGAGAACTTTCGGCCACGGGTAGTGCGCGAATGCGTCCCTTCCCAACGGCGGTTCGTCCTGGTTTCTCAGAGAAAACCATAGGAGACACTGCGCGTTCACACGTGACGCGAACAGGTCCACCTCGGCTCTCCCGAATTGTTCCCAAATCTGTAGAACAATGTCCGGGTGCAGACACCACTCGTCGTCTCGAGGACCCCCTCTTGACATGAGGTCTGCCCCTACGTTCAAGTAGCCCGGGATGTGAGCTGCTCTCAACGAGCGAAGGTGCTTGTGAGCCCACAGCCATAATTCCATTGCCGCCCGATGAAGGGCAGGAGACCTGACCCCTCCCTGGCGGTTTATGTGAGCCACTGTGGTTCGGTTGTCTGACCAGACCAACACATCGCGACCCCGAAGGGTAGACGCGAAGTGGGTCAAGACCAGTCGCACCGTTTCCAACTCTAGGAGGTTGATGTGACGACCTGATTGAGGCCATGCACCTCCTATCGCTTGAGACTGACATGTCCCTCCCCATCCAGTCAGAGAGGCATCTGTAAACACTGGAATGTAGGATGACACCTTGCCCATCGGGACTCCGTGCGTGAGAACGCACGGGTTCCGCCAATAGTCCAGGTCTGCTCTTAGCGAGAGAGGAACCACCACCAACCGATGACGTTGACGCACTGGGTCTAGTCTTAGTTGGGCGAACCACCGCTGTGCTCTGCGCATGTGCAGAAGCCCTAGCGGGACCACAGAGTGGGCTGCCGACATGAGACCCAAAAGTGACATGATCGATAGCGCCGTTACTGTGTGATTCGGACGACACTTCCTCAGGGCTAGTAACAATGCTGCCCTTCGAGGGTCCGAAATTCGTGCCCTCATCATTACAGTGTCTAGCTGTATTCCCAGGTAGACAATCTGATGACTGGGCCAGGGTGCGCTCTTTTTCCAATTCACAGCAAACCCCAGACGCGTGAGATGAGTCACCGTCTGTGTCGTGTGTGTGAACGCCAGCTCTGCTGACGGGGCGAGAATCAGCAGGTCGTCTAGGTAGGCTAATAGCCTTATTCCTTGACGACGCAGCGGTTCCAATGCCGCCTCCACACATTTGGAAAACGTTCGAGGTGCCAGGGCGTACCCAAACGGCATCCTCGTGAACTCGTACGCCACCCCTTGAAAGGCGAACCGCAGAAACTTTCTGTGGCGCGATTGTATCGGCACATGAAAGTACGCGTCCCTTAGGTCTATGCTTGTACACAAATCTCCCTTCTGAACACATTCCAGTAGGCGTTTTGTCGTTAGCATTCGGAAGGGCCGTTTGGTTATGCTCTCGTTGAGAATGCGTAAATCCAAAATCGGCCTCACTCCCCCCGTCTTTTTGGGCACTAGGAAATAGGGCGAGTACAGCCCCTTGTTCCTTTGCTCTCGGGGCACTACTGTGACCGCCTCCTTCGCCAAAAGTTCCGTAATCTCTGACTTCAGAGCGGCCACTTTGTCCGTTGTTTTCATCACCGTTTCCACTACTCCCCTGAACGGGGGTGGGGTCCGATGGAATTGGAGGGCATAACCCTTCTCTAACGTCTGTTCTAGCCAGCGTGAGAGGGTACAGCTTCGACGCCACTGCCAGCAATGCAGAGAAAGCGGGTGCGCGCGAAGCTGTGGTGCGTCCAGTAGGAAGGACCTGTATTCCTCTATGGCCCTCGCCGCCGCTATTCCCCAGCACTGGGTTGGTGGAATAGCCCAAGGCGGGCCCCCCTTGAAAGGGAGAGGACACATCAGCTCGTTCTGGGTGAATCGGGGGCTTTGATACGTTGGTTACGACCGTAACTCCAGTAATCTCGCCCTCCGTGAACGCAGCACGGGTCTGAACTGCACTGTCTGAGGTACTGGCCTGAGACAGAGCGCTCTTCCCTGAAAGCGATTGCGTCATCATGTCATTGTCTGACTGAGACTGCTGCTTGCCATGAGACCCATCCATTGCAGTACTCAACAGAGTCTGAAAAGTGTGATCTCTGACTGGTACCACAAGATGGTGCCACAATACCTCCTCACTGGTCTCATGCGGCTGCTCAACAGCACACTCTTGTGTGGTGAGCTACACTCAGAGCCATGGGCATTGTTACGTTCTGAATACACTGGGGGCGTCCATACATTGGTTACGCCTGTAACTCTAGTATTCTCGCCCACCTTGAACGTCGCATGGGTCTGATCTGCGCTGGCTGAGGCATTAGCCTGCAGCAAGGCGTCATTCCCAGCTAGCGGCTGCGTCCTCATGTCACATTGGGACAGAGACTGTTGCCTGTTGTGTGAAACCTTTACTACAGAGCTCCTAGGAGTCTGTAGTAAAAAGTCCTTATCAGGTGAGCTAAGGCTGCGCCTTGCTACCTTTTTCCCTTTCCTCTCCTGTGTATGCTCAGTTACACACCTCTGGTGAGTCGAGCTACATACAGAGTGGTGAGAATCAATACGTTCTGTGAGAACAGGGGGCGCCGATACGTTGGTTACACCCGTAACTCTAGTATTCCGGCCCTCCTTGAACGTAGCACGGTTCTGAGCCGCCCTGACTAAGGCACTAGCCTGAGACAGGGCGCCGTCCCCAGATATAGGTCGCGTCATCATGCCATTCTCTGGCTGAGACTGCAGCCTGCTATGAGAGGCACTCACTACAGTACTCCTTGGAGTCTGTAATGTGAGGTCTCTTTGAGATAAACCAAGACGGCGTCTAGGTATTATTCCTCCTTTCACCTCCTGTGTGCGTTCAGCTCTGCACCTCTGGTGGGCTGAACTACACTCAGTGTGGTGAGCCTGGGCGCATTCAGGAAAAAGTGGGGGCGCCGATACACTGGGCACCTTCGTGACCGTGGTAATCGGGCCCTTCTTGAACGCAGCATGGGTCTGGGTCGTACTAACAGAGACCTTAGTCTGTGATAGTGCGCCATCCCCAATGTGGTTATTATCAGCGCGTTCTGAGAGAGACGGGGGCGCCGGTACGTTGGTTACGCCCGTAACCGTAGTAATCCGGCCCTCCGTGAACGCAGCACGAGTCTGAACTGCACTGACTGAGGCGTTAGCCTGAGACAGAGCGCCGTCCCGAATAGCGGTCGCGTCATCATGCCATTATCTGGCTGAGACTGCAGCCTGCTATGTGAGACACTCACTACGGCACTCCTAGGAGTCTGTAAAGTGAGGTCTTTATAAGGTACACTTAATACCTTTTATATACCTGCCTTATGTGTGCATTCAGCAACGCACCATGGTGGGCTGAGCTGCACTCATAGTGGTAAGAGAGAGAGCGAGAGTGAGGAAGGTCGAACGCTCTCGGATGTATTATGGAAAAAGGGGCTCTTTTTTGACAGTGTCAAGTAGAGCCAACTCTTTATTACACACATCAACAAAAAACATTCTCCTCCATACACTCAACGGTAGAGTGTGCGGGGACAGTGGGCTCGGTCACAGCAGGCGCTGTGCCGTCTTCCGTTCTCTCCCCCTCGCCTGTCATAAACGGCGTCTCTTCTGGCCGCCCTTCGGGTGATGCCAGGATGACGCTTTAATGACCTCTCTCGCCGGCACCTCTGGCGCTGCAGGGGGGGGCGAGGCCCGCTCCCTTGCTGCTGGAGGCCGTCGTCTGACGCCAAGCTGTAGCGAGAGTAACGGCCGCCCTTCATCATATCCACTTCCGGGTTGGAGGGAATGGGGGCAGCTTAATCTCCCACTGTTTAGCAGCCCACTCAATGAGATCTAAAAATTCAGAGCACAGAGAGGCTGTGGCGTCATCATCCAGGGATGTAATGACCTCACAATTTCCTGAAGGAAAAGGGGTGTTAAACATCTGGGTCAGTGTAATGAATTGTTCCAATAGAATATTCATTTCTTCCCCAATAGCCCTGTCATCTCCTGAGTCAGCGCCTTCAGATGATGCCTCAGAGCTGAGACTAACATTGATAACACATCCTCAAGAGGAATATCCTCCCTAAAAATGCCCAACGCTGCTTCCACTCCTTCAAAAAAGGAGGGCGCAGCTGGCGCATAGTGGGGGATTAATGAGGCCGTCCCTGGCATGCTGTGTCCCTCAACCCACGAAACATATTTCGGGGGGGGTGACAGCCGCCAAGGGGAACAGCGACATTGAGCTCTGAAAAGAGCTTTAGTTAAATACTTACCCTATGGGTAAGCTTGGTGTGCTCATTGTAGGACGACGTCGATGATCTGGAAATCGACGGCGTTTTCTTCGTCCTGAGTCTTCTCTTCTTGGCTTCTTCAATTCTAGTCCAGTCGCTGAAGATAATGGGAGGCAGATTGAGGGAACGGGGTTCCTTATATAGGGACACCTGTACTCCTATTGGCTGTAGGTGTGTGCATAATTTTGCTTCAGGCTGTTCTGCCTTAGGGCAGAGGGTAAACCACTAGGAGCATAGCTCCCCTATGGGGCGGAGCTCCACGATATAGAACATGTTCAGTTTTCCCATGCTGCTGTGTCCCATCATCACCATCCACCTGTAATTTCCAAAGACAGAGCAGAAACCAGAAAAAAAAAAAGAAAAAGAAAACGTGTAGGGAAAAGAAGGACGGAAGGGACGGAGAACTGAACTGGATTTCTCACCAGCCTCACCTCCGCTGTAGCCCCCACGGCGCATCCTGTCGAAAGAGCCTCCTCGGCTCATGCCGTTGTAGCCACGGCCGCCTCCACCACCAGGCCGGTCGTAGGGGCCTGGTCTCTGCATGCCGCCCATGGTTTTGCGTGGGGGCTCGTAGTTCGTCCGCACCTCCGCATTGCTGCTCTTGAATATCTCAATATACCTACAGGCACACAGACAAGCATTAGGCTAGGGTACCAGTCCCAAAAGGTTTAACGACTATTGAGCAAAAGATAAAAAAAATCAGGTAGCACTAAGGACATAGGACTGTAGCATTTGTCCTGTTACTCACGTCCATGCATGTCAATCATAATATCTAGAAGAGAAGTAATGCCTCAAACTAGTTGTGACTTTCACTGACTGAACATTGAGGTTTCTCTTGTTAGGGTTAATGACAAATAGCCACTAGAATGCTACAGCTGTTTTCCTGTTCATGCTTTAAATAAACAAAAGAACCAGAGAATTACACTGTCAGTGTTACCATTATGCCATTATTGACCCCAGAATATCAAAGCTTTTCTTTTGACTGCAGGATCCATGGCCCAAGGAAGACTGGGTCTCAGTCACATCTGTGTGCCATGAGGGCCTGTGGATTAGTGCAGAGTGAAAACTGGTACCATCTAGGGCAAAAACACCATGGTGTCAAGGTGCCATTTTTAGAAAACACATTTAAATTCGATTCAAACTTAATTGGATTGGGACGTAGATGAAAATCATTTTATTTGTATCTGACCCAGTTCAGTGATGTATATTCTGAATTCTCCATCTACAGTACAAAAGGTGTTTCCTGACACCTTTGAGTAGAAGTCATTCGAAAACTTCCTCACAAAACCAAGTCCAGGACAATCACTCAGCACTAAAGTATGTTTTGGCCCAAAAATACGAAGCGCATCTCTGAATTCGAAGAGGCTATGGGCGATGATCTGAAATGGATACATGTATGAATGTCCTTGTAGCATGTGCAGGTTCTTGGCATGTGTCATTACCACAGAAGACAATTGTGGCAACAGGTGAATACCATAAGAAAAGCAGCGTAACCAGCCAACCAACCAACCATCCCCACCTGTGCCCTATTCTGTCCTTGTGTTTCTTTAGAGCCTTTTCAGCTATATCCTGTGAAGCAAACTGCACGAAGGCCTCCCCCGTACTCCTCCCCTGGAAGTCCACCGGCAATGTTATCCCATTTGGCACGATTTCCAACCCTTCAACCCAAGGACAGATAACCCCAGCGGGGGGACATATTAAATCAATCACATGCCCATTCACAGAGTTGTTGCTCTTTTTCTTCAAAAATAAAATAAAATGAAATGAAAAAACACATCAGACACGGGGACCCTATGAAAAGAAGAATAGCCTTTATGAACAGCGTGCCAGATGAGTGGCAGCATTTGGATCAATTATTTACTTACTGTCTGGTTTTTTTTTGTACTTCATTCTGGGAACATAAACCAAATAAAAGGGAGCCCATAGAATAGTAGGGAGAAATTAAGTTAGTGCTTGTTTGTACCAATTAATAAGAGTGATGCTAATGTTGAGTGGATGACTATGGGGTCTGAATGTAAGATTCATCCAAAACAGAAGTATCCATCTTGGCTCTAATCAAGTCTCAGGTTCTGATGGACTATCATTGTGAAGCCAATAACAGAGTTCAGATCCCAATTCAATGTCCAAGAGGCTATTAACATTAGAATTTTCCTTCAGCCAAGCCTTGAACTACAGGCAGTGTATTTTCAAAGCTATGTTGATATCAACTGAGGGTGATTATCTTAAGAGTTCATTGGACTGGAGGACAAAGGGCACCAAACACACCTAAGAAGAACTGGACAATCTCCTCCTTGCTACAGCCGAAGGGAAGGCCACGCAGCCGCACAAGCCCGTCCCCCTCAGTCTCTGGGCTGTTAGGACCAGTGTGCTTCATGACCCAGTCCATCTCCACATTGTTCGATTTGAAGACTGAGACAGAAAACAGAACATGAGGATTCTTTAGCATCTAATCTCATATCAGAACATGTTGTCACAATCACCTTGAAGATAATCAAAAATCAAGACACTATTGGAACCGGGAGACAAAACCAAATTAATGAATACCTTCCACATATCGGTGACCCAGGGTCTCTCTGTCTTTCTTGACGGCAATCTTCAGGTCGTCCTCCGACTCCAGCTCTACGAAGGCCTCGCCGCTTGGCCTACCCTCACGAGTGTAGGTGAAATGGATGCTTGTCCCGTTGTTTGCAACTTTACAATCTGGAATATAATTACACCAATTTAGTCACCTGAAAATACTTCAGACATACTTAGAGGCTTGTTTTTTATTTACATCATTTATCAGAACAAAATAAGTATCCATGTTTTCTTACCAGAGAAAAATCTTGCCACTTCGTCCACAGCGCAAGACCAGGGAAGGCCACGAATACGCACCACAAATCCCTCTCCATCTGCCATGGTTGGTTTATGGTCGGTCAGCCCTGGTTTGAGAGAGGCAGTCAAAGTAAGATCCTATACATCAGGGGTCAGCAACAGGCAGCCCTCGGGCCAAAACCAGCCAGGGAAATTTTTTGGGCCCTTGTTTGTTTTTGGTATAAAAATATCTATATAACCATGAATTCAGGCCAAAAAAATTTTGGGAGAAAATCTGTTCCCAAGTATTCCCACGAATAAAAAAAAAAGACGTGATATGTGATTGTGGCGCAGTGTAATCAAGGTGTGAAATTGTTATTTTCAACAACAACAAAAAAAAGTGTGCTTAATTGTGGCCAATTTGCAGTGTACAAATATATTATTATTATTATTATTATTATTATGTTGTTGTTGTTGTTTCGGCCCCCAACCATCCCTCAGACATAAATGGCCCACAACTGAATCTAGTTGCCTACCCCTGCTATACAGCCAGTGCATCTAGATGGGGAACTAGCATTTAAAGATTCACTATGCAGAAATCACTCCGCCATTTCCTGCTTGCTAAAATACTTAGCTTAATTTCAATTTATGTTGACAAAACAAAGAAGTATAGTGTAGAGAATCATTGTGCCATGTAAACTGCGTTGAAATCTCTTTTCCATAACCAAACATATTGTATTTTCAGCTTGTGTGCAAAACCTTAAATAAAACATGAAAAAATGAAACTTAACTGGGAAGCATAGAAATAACGCAAATAGAACACATCTATCGCTTCTTATGCTTGTTTTCAATGAGAATTACATATCTACAACACATTTCTATGTGAATTTAGTCCGTTCGTCCAAAGGTATCATACTGAAAGGGATCATGGTTTAGCGTTCTCGAAATATAAATTATTGGCCATCTCGCAAGAGTGTGGGACTTAGCTGAACCACAGCTGATTACCAAGGAGAACAAACGGGTCAGGCGGGAGCCATTTTGAGAGGTAAAGCCAGAGCACACCACTCTACACATCTTCAAATCACAACCCGGGAAACGCAGACTCTGAATCAATTTCATTTCGGAATCACTAGCTAGCTAACGTTACTAGAAAGGCGAACACGTAATAGAGAATATTTTACAGCAGTCTATTATTCTATTCAACTCCTGTATCAATGGCATGGCCATTTGAGTTGCTAGCTAAACAGTCATTTTTTATTTGGATGGGCTGGCCTTATACCAATCTCTGGCTGGCCTAAAAAACAGAGCCAATGTGAGGTTTTATTTAGCTGACGTTAACTTGCTAGGTAATGTAGGCGGCTCGCGAATATTTCAATGAATGAGTAGGTAACCTTAGCTAGCTAGATTATGAATTTAGACGTATTATTCTATTGCACATCTGTTATTAGTTAGCGAGTAAATGCCTGAATGATAATTTACAAAACCAGCAACAATGTTGGATGTTTGTTAGCTAGTTACACAAAGCATGCTATCGGCAATCAGACAAAGACGTCGCAGGCCTCAAGACTCCCATGGCTTGGCTAGCGACCCATCCATTTATCGAGGTCAGTCTGCAATTAGAAAACTCATGTATAAATACTTATACTTCAAACCTGAGTTATTACACATGCGTTATCTAAACTTTCGGCTTTAATAGAATGCGACCACAAAAATGAAAATACCTTGTTTTTTCTAGTCGGGTTTTCGGCGTGGTTAGTGTTCCTACAACGCCGGAACCACAAAACGAATATTGGGAAGTTCTTCTTCTTTACATTTGTATTGGCGGATCGCAACCAACTGAAAGGTGCATACACCGCCACCTACTGTACTGGAGTGTGAGGACTCCCTATTAATATATTTATATTATAAAATAATAATAAGCCATTTAGCAGACGCTTTTATCCAAAGCGACTTACAGTCATGCGTGCATAATTTTTTTGTGTGTATGGGTGGTCCCGGGGATCGAACCCACTACCTTGGCGTTATAAGCGCCGTGCTCTACCAGCTGAGCTACAGAGGACCACATTTATCTAGCCCTGTGTTTTTGCCTACTGTTCTGGAGTGTGAATTCATTACACTATGTGACACAAAAGGGAAGGGGAAACAAGACTGGGGAATGGAAAGAGAAATTGCCCAACCAACTAACCAACGCCTATTAAAACCTCATCACTATCCCACTACTTGGCCCTATCTGATCCTACAACAGGCCGGCAGCCTGGGAGGACGGGACACTATCGTTCAACATACCTTGTAACTCTTCTGCAGTAAAATCTCGTACACCCAAGTACTCCTCTGCAGCTGCTACCACAACTATTTATCTATGATTTACGTTCCATTTCTGCTATACAGTTGATAACCATGGTTACCTCCCGAGTGGCGCAGTGGTCTAAGGCACTGCATCGCAGTGCTGGCTTTGCCACTAGAGATCCAGGCTCTGTCGTAGCCGGCCGCGACCGGGAGACCCATGGGGCGGCGCACAATTGGCCCAGCGTCGTCCAGGGTATTGGAGGGAATGGCTGGCAGGGATGTAGCTCAGTTGGTAGAGCATGGCGTTTGCAACGCCAGGGTTGTGGGTTCGATTCCCACGGGGGGCCAGTAGGAAAATAAAATAAATGTATGCACTCACTAACTGTAAGTCGCTCTGGATAAGAGCGTCTGCTAAATGACTAAAAATGTTATGAACAGATTGTGAAATCAGACAACACATTAACATTAAATGTTTTTGTTCATTCAATGAAATAGTAACACCAGTCTTATATTTAAAACATTACTATTAACTACAAATATAATGATTTCTCTATAACAAGACCCCAATATGTCTGATTTCTCTGAAGGTTTCTTCTTTCTTTGTCATTTAGCAGACGCTCTTATCCAGAGTGACTTACAGGTAGTGAGTGCATACCTTTTTTCATACTGGCCCCCTGTGGGAAACGATCCCACAAGCCTGGCGTTGCAAGCGCCATGCTCTACCAACTGAGCTACAGGGGGCTTGCCTCTGATTGCCTTTTGTTTTCTTTGGGTTTAGGTCTTTGACTAATTATTTCATAAGATTGCATAATTTGTTTAAATATGCAAAAATACAATTGATTAATTTACACAGAGTATACAAAACATTAAGAACACATGGTCATTCCAAGTCCTAGACTGACCAGGTGAATCCAGGTGAAAGCTATGATCCCTTATTGATGTCACTTGTTAAATACACTTTATATTATATCCACTCAATATTAGGAATGTGTTCCTAATGTTTGGTATACTCAGTGTATATATATATATATATATATATATATATATATATATATATACACTGCTCAAAAAAATAAAGGGAACACTTAAACAACACAATGTAACTCCAAGTCAATCACACTTCTGTGAAATCAAACTGTCCACTTAGGAAGCAACACTGATTGACAATAAATGTCACATGCTGTTGTGCAAATGGAATAGACAACAGGTGGAAATTATAGGCAATTAGCAAGACACCCCCAATAAAGAACGGGTTTTGCAGGTGGTGACCACAGACCACTTCTCAGTTCCTATGCTTCCTGGCTGATGTTTTGGTCACTTTTGAATGCTGGCAGTGCTTTCACTCTAGTGGTAGCATGAGACAGAGTCTACAACCCACACAAGTGGCTCAGGTAGTGCAGCTCATCCAGGATGGCACATCAATGCGAGCTGTGGCAAGAAGGTTTGCTGTGTCTGTCAGCGTAGTGTCCAGAGCATGGAGGCACTACCAGGAGACAGGCCAGTACATCAGGAGATGTGGAGGAGGCCGTAGGAGGGCAACAACCCAGCAGCAGGACCGCTACCTCCGCCTTTGTGCAAGGAGGAGCAGGAGGAGCACTGCCAGAGCCCTGCAAAATGACCTCCAGCAGGCCACAAATGTGCATGTGTCTGCTCAAACGGTCAGAAACAGAATCCATGAGGGTGGTATGAGGGCCCGACGTCCACAGGTGGGGGTTGTGCTTACAGCCCAACACCGTGCAGGACGTTTGGCATTTGCCAGAGAACACCAAGATTGGCAAATTCGCCACTGGCGCCCTGTGCTCTTCACAGATGGAAGCAGGTTCACACTGAGCACATGTGACAGACGTGACAGAGTCTGGAGACGCCGTGGAGAACGTTCTGCTGCCTGCAACATCCTCCAGCATGACCGGTTTGGCGGTGGGTCAGTCATGGTGTGGGGTGGCATTTCTTTGGGGGGCCGCACAGCCCTCCATGTGCTCGCCAGAGGTAGCCTGACTGCCATTAGGTACCGAGATGAGATCCTCAGACCCCTTGTGAGACCATATGCTGGTGTGGTTGGCCCTGGGTTCCTCCTAATGCAAGACAATGCTAGACCTCATGTGGCTGGAGTGTGTTAGCAGTTCTTGCAAGAGGAAGGCATTGATGCTATGGACTGGCCCGCCCGTTCCCCAGACCTGAATCCAATTGAGCACATCATGTCTCACTCCATCCACCAACGCCACGTTGCACCACAGACTGTCCAGGAGTTGGCGGATGCTTTAGTCCAGGTCTGGGAGGAGATCCCTCAGGAGACCATCCGCCACCTCATCAGGAGCATGCCCAGGTGTTGTAGGGAGGTCATACAGGCACGTGGAGGCCACACACACTACTGAGCTTCATTTTGACTTGTTTTAAGGACATTACATCAAAGTTGGATCAGCCTGTAGTGTGGTTTTCCACTTTAATTTTGAGGGTGACTCCAAATCCAGACCTCCATGGGTTGATAAATTTGATTTCCATTGATAATTTTTGTGTGATTTTGTTGTCAGCACATTCAACTATGTAAAGAAAAAAGTATTTAATAAGATTATTTCATTCATTCAGATCTAGGATGTGTTATTTTAGTGTTCCCTTTATTTTTTTTGAGCAGTGTGTGTATATATATATATATATATATATATAAACTCAGCAACAACAAAAAAAAGTCCTCTCACTGTCAACTACGTTTAATTTGTGTAAATATTTGTATGAACATAAGAAGATTCAACAACTGAGACATAAACTGAACAAGGTCCACAGACATGTGACTAACAGAAATTGAGTAAAGTGTCCCTGAACAA